CTTTGGACCTTCCTTTAGCATGCCTCTGTTACGGAATGCGATTATCAGTCTTAGTTGGGAGCAGTATTGTCTCAAAGTTGACCAAAACAGGCACAACGTTTTTTCAAAGACATTTCTGAGCGTTTCGGCCAACTTTGAGACAATACTGCTCCCAAACTAAGACTGATAATCACACTCCGTAACAAAGGCATGCTAAAAGAAGGTCCAAAGACCAATTGCCCGTTGAAGGAGGACGAAATACCGCCTCGGGTCAGACGCAGTGGCTGCTTAAAATAGGCCCAAAACACGATTTTTCAAAGACATTTCTGACCGTTTTGGTAAACTTTGAGACAATACTTCTCCCAAACTAAGACTGATAATCACACTCCGTAACAAAGGCATGCTAAAGGAAGGTTCAAAGACCAATTGCCGGTTGAGGGAGCAAAATGCCCGCCTCGGATCAGACGCAGTTGCTGCTTAAAATCGGCCCAAAACACGACCCCAGGTACCTCGCCGCGACCCCTTAAAATTTTTTCGCGACCCCACTTGGGGTCGCGACCCTAAGGTTGAGAACCACTGCCGTAGTGCCTGCCTATGTGAGTGCCATGGGGCATTTCTTCTCTAAGCTCGACTTGAAGCGTCAAGCGTCTTGAAGCTTGAGTTGTGCGCTGGAATGAAGCGTGCCACTGCGCTTCGGTTTTACCAGTGTATCTTCCCCCTCCCCCTCCTCCTTGGACTATGTGTCTTTCGCAGGCGCCATCCGTAGCCATGCCGCGGTGGAGAGACTCTCCAGCAAGAGTTATACGCTCCCACCACCTCACTCCACCGCCCCACTTTTTCTTTGTTTTATTTCATCTGCTGCTTCGGAAGCCCCCTGGAGGGTTACCAACAGCAGGGCCCTCCGGTGGGGCCCGGCCCGGCCCGCCCACGGAGACGAACCTGTATCTTTCAAAAATTCAAATAAAGATGTGCCTCTGCGCGCGAGGAAGTTAAAAGAACGAGAGTTAAAGGCGACAAAGAAATTTAAAAAAAAAAAATGGCACACTGGATCTGGGTTTGTCTTGCCGACGAGCCCTGAACCACGAATTGCGCGGCCGAGGACGGTTTCCGATCATAATTAATGCCGACGAAGCGTGGAAATATGGAGAGAGACAGAGACAGAGAGATATAGAGGAGGCACATGCCGATGTCACAGCGCGGCAGCGGAGCGACAGACGTCACCATGACAACAACCTCGTGTGCAACCAATTACGAATCGCGCTCGATAAGCCTTTACACACACACGCGCAAATCTCGCTCACTCACACACACACACACTCAAACAGACGTGCAGAACAGCCATATTTGGCATGGGGAATAATTCACTTGGTGCGAGT